AACCGCAATAAACTCGCGTGATTCATAGAGAATTGTGACAATATGTTTGTCTTTCTCTAGATACGTTAGAATGTTATCACCGTTTTATTTCGGTGATGTTCTACGTGTATAATCTCAACATGAGTTGAGTGAAAAGTTACAGAAAGGCAGTCTGGAGAACTGCGCGCGTAGTAAGAACCAGTCCAAGTTTCCAAGGCTTGGGCTTTTCTGTAACGAATAGGCGGTTGTAACATATCTATTAGGATATAACTGTACAGTATTAAACGAAAGAGAAAATGTCGAACAATCAGTCCCAAAGGAAATTTATAAAATATCTGAAACTTGTCTAAATTGATTAGAGAAATGAGTACAAAATTAGTCTCAGATAATTGAAATTGCATTAATTTTAATACATATGCACAGTCATAGACGTCGAAACAAACAATGAAACTAATGTAACAGCAAAACTTCACGGTAAGATGCTTTGTATGTTATCTCTTTTTGGACAAATGACCAGAAATTCGCTGAAACAAAAGCAGAGTATGTCGAAGCTTAGAGATCTCTCAGAATCTTGTTTTTGAACAGTCTATTGTTGTATATACCATATTTGCACGCTCTTTCCGAATATCAATTCTTCTGAAACATGAATTCATCTGAAAAGCTAGTTCTTTTGTAAAACTGTATAGTCACCGAGATGGAAAACTGCATTTTCCCGCATATACTAGGAAAACCGTATTTCCTGCATATATCAGATATAGACAAACATTCTGGCATAATGTTGAAAAATAATTGAGGAAAGAGAAGGGAAACGCATTATATTGAAAGAATTTTATTTACGGAAAATTTGTTGAAGAAAATGGTTTTAATTGAAGTATGCTGCTTCCCATTTTTTGACTAAATAAAAATATCTGCCTGGATGTCGACTGCGTGCGATGTCGCCGCAACCAAGCCATCAGTATTTTATATTTTTTTATATGAGTCTACTTTAATGGGAATAGATACTGTTTCTCAAAGTCAACTTCAAAAACAGAGTTGATCTTGGTCACCAAAGATGATTACCGTTTAACTAAAATATATTTGAGAGATAGTTACAATACATAAATCGTTGATGAGAGAAGCAACCTAAAATTTATAACACCTGTAAACTAAATCTACACGGAACGTTATATAAAGCTAAACCTTGATTAATAAATGTATTTTTAATGATACTTATAATTTGAAGTAAATGGTTCTATAAATGAGACAAAAAAAATGTCATTTTTTTCTCAGAAAATTGTACTATTATCAGCTGTAGTAGTCGTGGTGGTGTGAGGGCAAGAAAAGTTCATCCATTTTTTTTCTTTTCACCGTTTCCTATGGCAGATATATTTTTTTTTTCAGAAAAGAAAACAGAGCATTTAGAAGTGTGTTTATAGCTAGGAAAAGAAAACCTATATTCTCCATTTCTCTATTCTGCATGATTTATATATATATATATATTATATAGTAGTCATTCTGTAGTTTATTTTTATTTTATTCTCAATTTATATAATCAGTGAGCAATACAATGTCAAGAACAAGGTAGATCTTATTACGTGACTGTTTGTTATCTATAGCCGGAAACTCACAATGATATATAAAAGACTTTTTAATCATAGCATCTGGCAATGTTTAATCCACTATCTTAGAATTCATTATATTCACTTTATATATTAGATTCTCATACATTTTTAGACTAAAAATATATCCCTAATTATTAGAAAGATATGTTTAGATATAAATTTGATAATGCTAATTTATTGAAGTAGGAAAAAAACCTATAGATTGATCGATATACAGGATACCAGAGAACAAGAAGATGAAATTTAAAAAAAAATTAAAATTCTTTTTAAAAACTAGATATATATCCCTTCTAAAGTATAATATTAAATTAAAAACTATAATTTCTAAGTAATGTGTATTTTATCACACTACCTATAGACGTGTAGAATATTTCAATTATTCTAGTAGATAAAAAGGTTTGAAGAACTTTTACAAACTTGTTAATATACATTGACATTACTATTTCACGATACAATGGATATGTTTTGATAATTAATCATGCCACATAACGAAACGTATACTTTATATGTTGGATGTTGTTTTTGACAATAATAAAAAACTAATAAACTTCATATTGTTTTTACTGTATAGACACCATTTTGCAACTATTTATTCGATTAGGTATCTTATCAATAGGCACTTAGATGAAGGAAATAAAAAAGAAAGAAGAATTAACACAATAAGGCAAAGAATGTAGAAAGCATAGTAGAATAGAGACTAATCATACTAGTTATAGGAAAAGAAAAAAAAAAATCAAAAAAAAGTTAATCAGCTGCTCTATTGTTATAAAATAATTTGAAATAAAAGTTTTCTCTTTTCTCTTTTTATTACAAATATGAATCAAAAAGGAGTTCATCATTGACATAGAGTGTGATTATCGGTATATTTTAGACGTTTGTTTCTATTCTTGAAAGAATTAAAATCGTAACTATCATCAAATAGTATAAATAATATATAAAGACTATTTTACCTATTTCAATTATTGTTGTTGATGTTATTATTAATTTACTATTCTTATAAAAAAAAAAATACCATTATGAAATTTATTTGTTAAATTTATCAAGTGTTTACTTTTATTTCATACATGCCGATACTATGATAGAAATATTATGCGTCAGTTTTATATAGTTAATAAATACAAAGTAGACTTATATATTAATATTTCAATTCAATCTTTTAACTAGAAAAAGTTGGAACAGGTAATTTTTTGTGTAAAAATAGTACATCATAATAATAAATGGATGTTTTGTTTTTTGAATCCTTCGCCGTTTAACACGTTACATTTGAATAAAAAAAATAAGCGTGAGAATAATCTAATCCAATTTAGAGAGGAGGTGTCAATATTTTTCTCTTAGAAATAGTATATAATTAAATTTTCTCTGTTTTCTGGTCATCTAAAAAGAATTTTCAACGATATATCCTTCGTTTTTTTCCTCTCGAAACATCTCTGATCACTTAATTTAACTAGTTTTGTAATTATTGTAGTAAACATATTGAGAATTGTTTTCTTTATTCTTTTGAATTTTTATTATAAAGTTTTCATCTTCTTCTCATATTCTACAAGTAGATTAATAGATTTATTCAGCAAATTCCTAAAAATCGAGACTTTATCTTTCTTTTAATATTGGACAATTTCACTTTTATTTTTATTTTTGATATTATTCATTTTTGTTTTCGTTTTGTGACGTGGCACAGGTCAAAGTTTACTATAGATACAACGTGCAAAGATTAAAAAGGTTGAATATATCTCTTTTCATCGGAGTGGCAAGTATTATGTACATTCTCTATTTGACTTGAATATATATGATTAATAATACGATAAAAGAAATTATATATGTCGAGAGCATAGTCCAATTCTTTTTTTATCTTGAACAACTGATGTCACAAATATGTCGTGTCCTGGCATTTGTCTTGTCAAATCACTGACTTCCTTGTAAAATTTGTCACATTATCTGTCCTTGCCCCAAACACCTACGTATTAGTTTGTGGTATGTCTAAAAAGAAAGAAAAATCTCCTGCCTCTTCTTTCTCTACTTCTATACACATATGTGATCAGCTGCTATGTTAAAGACTTTTGTTTTCTTTTTTTTACACATCAAGAAAGAAATGAATAGAATAATAAATACATCAGCTGAAATTTATATTATTAATAAGAAAGGAATGTATAATGGAGAAAAGAGGAATGAGTAAAAACAAACAGATAGCGAGAAATAAATGCCGATAAACAAAAAGTTGAATAATAAATGTAGATCATAAGATTGATTAAGTAATAGAGAAATAAACATATGTACACACTATACATCAGGAAAAAACAACAACAACAACAGTAAAATAGAAGAGAGATTTTTTTGTCTTTAATCGAAGTAACTTGTATTCAATCATTTGAGTTAATGATACTTTTTCCAACTCAATTATGTTCATCATTATTATAGTAGTAATAAGAATACTTTCTGATTATAAACACCTGCTTCTCGTACATGGAAAAATATTAGATATCATATATATATATATATATATATACAGTTACGGATACACATGATATAAAAATCAATAAAAAAAACAAAAAAAACTCATAACAGTTAAGCAACTGATATGACAACAATCTGAAGCAGTAGTAAAATGTCGCGACATTGTTAATAGAGAAAAATACTTAACTTTACTTTTTATAAATGTGTACAGGAAACCCTAAAGTGATTAAGAATAGATTCATTTAATATCATCGTAGTAGTTGAAGATAGACAGAATTTTACTTTCTTTTTTTTCTTTTTAAGTTAATGAAAGTCTAATGATATTTTATATTTTACCTCATAAAAATGTATCCTATTATTGGTTTTTTTCTTGTCTATTAAAAGAAATTTAAAGAATATGAAGAATGAACAATCGACCAATGATGCAACTAACACTAATGGTATAATGATCGATTTGCCAGAAATAACATACGATCAACAAGGAATGACGAGAAATAATTCAACTAGACGAACGTAAGCAAAAACTTCATACATTTTGTTCCTGTATTGTGTTCTTATTATTATATATATCTATCAGTTTGTGTTGAAAGTTCTTTCAGCAAGGTAATAGTATATATATATATTTTGAGTATGAATTTGTATCTACTTTATAAAAAATAACATTTAATTGTCTAAACTTAGCTAGATTATCGATGATGTATTTTATTATTACAGTTTGAGTTACTAAACGAATAGGTGAGATAAATCTTTTAGATTACAAATTTTCAGTATGAAGTTCAGAATATATACTAAATGTCCTTGTAATCGATTTAAAGGAGTTAAATCTTGTAGAATAGTATGAGCAGTGCGCGCTAACTTCAGCCCAGATTGATCGATATTTGAAAATCAATTTTTCATACAAACAAGAGTCTTTTCCCTTTATCTATATGTGATTCTTTATGTTGTAACTGTGTTAATGTCTATAAAATTGCAATGCTACAATTTTAAAGGACAAACAACATACATAGAGAAAAATTCATAGAGATTGAAATACACTTGTCTTTACTGTCGTGTATCTCATACCTTGAAGCCTTTTTCATTATTATCAACTAAATATAGTTGTACACATAGTTCAAATTCCAAAAGAAATAGGGAAATAAGGGAACATCTTCAATATAAGCCTAAAGACGAATTATAATTTTTTGATACGTTATCACAATGGAATATAAAATTGTAAGAATTATCAAAAGAAGAAAATATGGCTCGACTTAGAATCGAATCCAGGATAAATTAATAGTTTTCTAGGTCAATGTTCTATCACTGAGTAATCGCGAGAGTTTGTATTATACGTATACGAAAAAAAAAAGATGTTAAAGATAAATGATGAATATCGTTCAATTCACTTGTCCCATTTTTATCATCAGTGTCATCTTCTTATTCGAAGAAAAAAATTAACATTAAAAAAAAGGTCCTTTTCTTCTTCTTTGAGGATGCGTTCAAAAGCATCAACAGAAGAAGAATAGATAGAGAAAGAATAACGTACGAATTAAATATGTCGCAAAAAAAATGAGACGTGATCGAAAGACGTAGTGTAGTAATACAGTGAGAGAGAGCGTGTGTGTGTGTGTATGTCACATGAAGAGAATGACGCGTTCACTCGACCGATGAATAAAAAGATACAGTTTAGGCAAAAAGAAAAGAAGTTTACTTAATAGTAGCGCTCTAAATGTTCATCCAATAATAATTAATAATTACTAATTACATAAAAATTCCAATTAGAATTTATTAAAAACTATATTATACACATGAAAGACATTAATAAGAAAAACAAGTAAGATGACAGGAGTACATACAATCAAATTTAGTAGTAAAATAGGTTTCATAGAGAAAAAGAAAAAAAACATATGATTTTTTAAAAAAATTTACTTCAATTTTTTCTTCTCTTTTTTTTTATTTTTTAGTATGTATAATCCAGCAAAATCGGTTTCACAATTATCATTGGCCTCCAGTCCTTGTAATGATTATAGTTTAGATAGTGTATGCTGTACAAAACGAACATTACATACATTTTCACATATGTGGATTGTAGAAAATTTTAGTACTTATTTAGAAGATCCTGAGCCAATTATTTGTTTATCAAGTTCACCATTTTCACCTGTTAGTGGTCTTAGTGTATCAACACAATGGCGTTTAGTCTGTTATCCAAAAGGAAATTATGGTGCCAGTAGTAATTATATGTCAATATTTTTAGAATATATTAAAGGTGAAAAAGATATTAAAGCAAAAGCAGAATATTCATTAGTTAATAGAAAATGTGAATTAACTGAAATAAGAAAAGATGCACAGTTTAGTGTTTATAAATCAGGTAAATATAGATTAATTTTTATTTTTATTAAAAATTTATTTAATTTAAATATATATAATAATAAAACTATATATATTTTTAGGAAATACTCGAGGATTTATTAATTATGTAAAATATGATACATTAACATTACTTGAAAATGATACATTAGATGATGATAAATTAAAAATTTATGTTCGAATAACAATAATGGATGATGCTATTACTGAAGAAACAAAATATCAAGAATTTGATGAATGTGAAACAATTAATTTTACAACAAAAGGACTTGAAGGTTTAGTAAGAGATTTTTCACAATTATTAAATACGTCAAATTTAAGTGATGTTAAAATAAATGTAATAGTTAAATCATTACCCGTTAATTTAGATATAGATAATAATAATAATGATCCATCATATGTTAATAACCTATCATCAGACTATACAGGAATAAATG